GTCAGGAAAATAAACCTCTTGTTCCAGTGATCGTTTCTTCTTCTTCCGAAGATTCTTATCTTTTCCTTGTCTACACTTATCCACAGTTATCAGCTATCTTTAAGACAATATTAGCTCATGTATGAAATGTGGAGACTTGGTGTGGATGAATGGGTAGTGGTTCCGCTGTTCTCTATTAGGTTTAGTTAACGTCAGTTACACTTGAAGTTATCTTGTCCTTTACTGATGCTGAACTCAAATCTGCGGTGATTTCAGCCCGAAAATCTGCACCGAACCGATAATATATTTCTGAAACATGGGTCTTAACTACCTAGGCGTTAACCCTCCTTTTTCATTTGCAGGCAAACGAATCCTCTTTCAGCTGACGCACTTCTGAGAAACATGGCGGCCCTGGTGAGATTTTAATCCACGCCAGCAGGGAGAAGGCTTAGCTACAGCCAATGTTCCAGCCAACTGAGCTGCGAAGCCCCACCGCGACCCCTGTTTTGCTAAAAAAACACAAATTTCCATGAACATGAGCTTTCGGTAACGGATAAGTTGGTCATCCAGTTTAGATACTCCTAGTCACTAGTCAAGTGGTTACTTCTAGTTTTAGTTTATTATTTAGGTTATTAGTTAAATTTTAATTTTAGTTTTAGTTTACTTGAGTTTTTAGTTCAGTGAGGTACCGCCAACGTAGGATAAATATACTTGAATAACTACTAGATAATAAACTAATCTAACTAAACTAAACAAAACCAAGCAGACTAAACCAAAGCTAAAATTAAACTAATATTCGAAATAATAAACCAAAAACCTAACTCAACTAATACCACCGATTACGTAAGACAGAATTCTGTGGCTAGGGGTATCTAAATTGGGCGACCAACTTAAATTTCACCGAAACCTCATTTTGAGAGAACTGCTCACAAGCAAAGGGTTTCCGAATAATATAAAGACGATTAAAAAACATGCGTGAAAGCGGAGTGCTAAAAATTGTCCCACTTGAAGAGAAATAAGATTGCTCATCGCAATCCACTGAAACAACCGAGTTCTCTCCACCCATTAGGAAAAATAACTTGTCGGGCATAGCTAGGAAGCGCGTGTTCATTCTTATTTATCGGAGTTCATCGGCAGACCAATTCAAAGGAACCGAAAGTGAGGCAAATAAGGTGTATGCAGTAAACGGAAGCAAATGCGTGCAAGTCTGGACTCTATATGCCGTTTGATTTAGATTTCATCAGGTTTCCAACCATCAGACATCTTACAATTTGGTTCATTGTCGGCTTAGCCATGTACCTTTTGAGTCCCAAAGTGGAACACGTAATCAATCTTGAGGGCTGGAAACAGCATTTTGGATAAATTTTTCTCTGATAGCGAAACTAAATCCTTGTCATTTGCTTGTGCATTCAGCTATTTCATCGTCTGAACTACTTACTTATAAGGACTGTTAAGACGGCTAATGCCATTTTACTCGATCTCAACGGCTTATAATGCAGCCCACTTGAATGGTGTGCGATGCCAACACTTACTTGCACGACAATGCGTTCAGTTTTTTGGACCATATCCGGTTTCTGACTAGTTTTTGCATATTTTTATCTGCTTTTCTGAGTATATACTCTGAAAGTAGGCCCTAAACAGCCTGCTAAAGAACGAAGGGTATCCGAACGACATAAATTGGTCAAAGGGTTATTCTTCACTTGACGCAATGAAGAATAATATGTTAAGCAAACTCCGTAAAACTGCTCCTTTGTGCCATGGAAGCCGATAATTCACGCAACTTTTACTTTACTAACTAGTGAGCAAAGGGTATCCTCATTAACAGGACCGAACAAATTAAGATATCTGATCTCTTAGAAGTATGCAAAATATTCTTGCCACGTGAACAGAGATCACTCTTATAAAATCCAAAAGTGATAATCCCCGTAGTCGTGTTAGAATTAGTCAGCAGCTTTTATCGGCGTCTGATCGATCATTTCAAAAATAAGTAGTGTTTGCACGCACGTTCATCTTAGCCTCTGCGTTATTTCAGGTCTACTTCAAACATTCTTCAATCTGAGGCAAATCCTCGAAGCCGAACTTGGATGTTAACTCTAATACCATGAGGTTCATTTGTGTGTGAGAATTTACGCGTAGCACTTATCTGTTGGAGTACTCCTCTTCTTTCAAGGTAACGTGTGCTGTTGTTGATATACCTGCTCTAACCTCAGTTGTTTCGACCCCGAAACTTATTTAAAAATAGTAAGTTAATTAAATTCTGTGACATCTGACAGAAGGAGTAGAAATTCAGCATCATTTAACTGTTCCAACTTAATGTCATCTGTGTGTGGCGTCCTACCAGTTTTTTTAATAAGCTAACTGTCATGGGAAAGGGGATCCACGTCCCAGAACAGGAATGGCCTTCCTACTTCTGAAGTATTAAGTTAAAATGCGTGGGGAAAGATATTTGGTGCTATTTTTGCGTCAACCAGCATTCCAAGATTCTGATTGGTTACCAGTCATGACTGGTAGATGCTGCGTGGGTGGTGCTGGCAGCAAATATAAAAGGCGCCTACATGATCTTACTTCATGGGTGCAAACGTTGCCAGATATTAAATCAAGGACCGCATCGAGGATAAAATGCCAGATATCCTAACTGTGGATTTGAAAAGACCGGATTCTAGCCATTCCTGGGGAATATGTTTTGCTGTTCTGCCTGATGGACCCGAAATTTTGAGGGTGAGTTCATTTGCATATGCTGATGTTTAATAGTTTTCAATATCTGCGCTCACAGAAGTTATCTAAGAATGTAGGTGTTCATTTTATGGAGTTATAATTTCGGTGCTCGTTCTTTTATAGTGCAACACGCGCGAAAAAGAAATTTTGGTTCGCAGAGTTTAATAGCCTAGAAAATTATTTGGATATCAAGAAACGTTGGATTTGGTCCAATTTCGCCCCTATTTGTCCCCTGTATACTGAGCTAAAATGAACTCTTTTCTATTAAACAGCATTTTGCGCCTCAGATTAACTCAATGAACAAAATAAACAACCTCAAATATGTGTTATATCCCCACTCAAATTTTGATTTTCACATTTCATTAGATATACAATCTACTGTTCAGTTTTTGCGAACGACCCAAGATCAGTCAAATATCTTCTAAGCGATGCGGTTAAAGTCATTTATGTTCTTTTGTTCAGCATATCAACGACACCGGGTGTGCCCACTTCTCTTCTCGGCCTGTTTGCTAAAATTTTCCCCGCAAAAATGTCTATGCACTATCTGAAAATCAATCGAAAAGAATTGAGACATTAATAGTATGATTTGACAGTAAATGACGATCGAGTATGCATCTAAAACAGTCCAGCAAACTATTTAGTTCGCACATTTAGCTTAATACATCCACGTTCTCTCTCACTTTACCAACATTTCCCTATGCTTGCGTACGAAGCTCGAATCCATAAGCAAAACAATTTCGTTGTGTATTCCGTATGTTACTAGAAACAGTCTTCCGTCAAAATGTATTTCAGCTGCTTAACGGCAACTTTCCAGATATCGAACAATTCAAAGTTATATGTGAAAATGGAAGTAAAACTCCCAATAATTCATTTTAACGACCGTCGTTTTGTCCACTAACCTCTAACACATCATCTAGTGCCTATCATAAAAGAGTATTGATACTACTCCTAAGTCAAAAATCACGTTCATGGCAGATATTCGGTCATGGATTGACCATACCTGGGTTTTTCTATCCAGAATATTTGGAGCAGAAAACTACTTACTGCAGAAACATATTTTTGTTCTATCGAAATAAAAAACAAAAGAATAAGCCTCTTTTAATACATAATTTGATTTGACAGTGGAGAGTAGTTTCGGCAGCACGGAAAGGGATTTAGTTAAAAAACTATATAACTAGCGTGCTTGCCCATTTGGGATGACCATGCTTTAAATTTATTCTCTTTTATCTTGCTTGACGCTTATGTTTAATTGTACATCCAACAGAGGATTTGCAGTTGAGGGCTCATAAGTACTTGCAGTATGTATTAAGATTTTTGTAGACCTAGTTTTAAAAGCACATGGTGTTTTAAGTCAAAATAGGAGAGACTGTTTTCTGGGAAACATCATCTATGGGGAGAAATATGCTATGGACATTGAAATTCCATTTCTCTCCTTTTCACTATGTGGCTTGTATGCAAGTTATGAAGACGGTAAAATATTTGCATCTGCGAACCGATGGTCGGATTAAATGTTACTTCATTTGGCAATACGTCCTCAAATTCAAACCAAACTTTTGCATTGTTTCAGAGGGCTGTGAGCATTGTTTCGTTTTCATTTTCTGCTTAATCTTTAAATGATTTATTTTGCAAACTATTTTGTTCACACAGCAGGGACTCTTGCTTAAGAAAACGATTCTAAGTGACTTTTTGTAGATTTTTCGCTTTTTTTCCTTTCGTTTATCTCTACTTTCTTTTTCATTACCAACCACGGTGAATGTGTTTTGTACCTTTGGAATGCAGGTAATGCGTGACAGCCCGGCCTTTGGAAAACTAAAAAATGGTCAGGTCATTAAGCGCGTGAATGGACAGCCGGTGTTGGGGCTGACTCGGGAGGAGATTGGTGAGCTGTTGGCCGCCGGTGAGGAGGATCTCATTCTTGATGTGCAGGAGTGAGTTCTTTTGAATCTTGACTCCACATTCACTTTTTGAAAAAAAAATCATCCCGGATTCAAAATGAAGTTAAACTACTGCACATTGAATCTCTAAGTATATTGGATGTTATTGTAACAACGTTCTGTCTACAACGACCACTGTCGATATTTTGAATTGCTCGCTTTAAAACTGATCATACTGCATTGGTTGTCTAGATTCCTGCATAGAGAAGCAACAGTTGCTAGGTTGTCCATTTTTTGAAGGCATGTACTTGTTGGAAATGTTTAAGGGTCCTTCAGTCTTAAACGGCATAATTTCATTGGTTTGGAAAGGAAAATACATTAAATATCGCATTGGATTTTCTTATTCATAGGCTTTCTAAAACAATGCCTCGGGTAGTTTTTTAGACTCGCCTACATACGACCTTGAGGAAACAAACTTAAACGGGATTTAAGCAAAACTTTCGAAATTAGAATTAATGTAATAGTACAAGCTAAATAAATAAATAATCAGTAAAGCCTTTGGTACAATACCATGCAATGTATCTTTGTCTAAAGGTTCAACGTGCCGTATTTATACGCCTTTTGGCAGATGTTAATTACCACTTTAACCCAATTATGAAACATACGACGGGCTCGATGGGATTCGAAGTCATGACCTCAAGGGTAAGGCTTGAGTAGAGCAAACTTTCCAATCCTCCAAGCTACTATGCTCCACCGGAAGTTGTGAATTTAATTAAATCTGAGTCACGTTACCCGCAAAGCCTATTTGACGTATAAAATCCACCAATTCTGCTACAGTAAGCTGGCTGCCCACGCAAGATTTCCTGAGTAAACTATCTGGAATCCACACAATGACTAACAGGCTCACTTATTTAAGAGGTTAATATGGACTTTTCTGGAATTATATCCCACCGAGACTGCCAAATTTAGCAACATTTGGTCAAATGGATTATAAATGCCTAAAGAAGAAGGATTATTTTGGTTATTTTAAATGACCTACGCCGAAGAAAATTACATACAGGCTAGTCCCTGGAAATATGGGCTGGTAGTATGAAATGTACCTGTTTTTTGACACAACCTAATCCATTCTTCATAACCCCAGAGATCTTATGAATCCTACCTCGTTATGATACCTCAGTTTTGGTCTGTAAGATTTCGATAAAAAAATGATAAAATAAAGTGAACTCACAAAATACATGGTTTTGTTTCCTAACCTTATTTGACTACTCGAAATAAAATTGTGTTTGCTTATTTAAAAATAGGTGGCCGTACTTGTTATCTTCATTCACAGTCAAGAATAAGTAGTAGGGATATTTCAGTAACTTATTTTGCAAAAAAACTAAAGAGATAAGGCACTATGTGAAAGTATGCCGTGACGAACTTGAGTAAAACAAAAAGGAACCCTTTTACTATTCGTTGATGTGGATGCTGGAATCGTAGTTCAATTGATTTTCGCAGCAAACAGTATTTGGTCAAATATAATCTAAAGCTGAGTTTGTTAATTCTTCGTTATTTCTATCGCAGGCGCAATATCGGTCTTATGCTGCAAAAGTGTCAGCCTGAGAAGTATAGGGATATAAATTTAGATATTTCTTCCCCCTTTTACCATTGATATATTATTGTGAGTTCCAGCTATTGAAGTCATTGTTCAGCCTGACCATAAATTATGCTACCAGTCATTGGCGTGTTTCGTAAAGTGTTTATTTGACTAAAATGCCCTCATTTGTATCTTGCAGTCCGCTTCCGTTCGACTACAGAATTCGCGAGTTTGGTCATGAATATAACCGACGCTCCGTTGAACCAAGTGGTCTACGTGAGTATCTAATCTTTTTCCGTATCTATAAACTTTGAGCTTATATTAACCGCTCGTATCAGCATAATGAAAAGCCTAATTGGAAGTTTGTTCGAGTAATATATTACTCCATAAGATCCTGTCATAGCGGACGACTTTATTAAACCTTTTAAATACCTCTCGTACCCAGTTAAAACCCATGTGTAGTTTCCTAACACTATAAAACCAATTATATTTTTTAACGCGTGGTGGAAGTCATTTTAAAAACCCTCTCTTTTTCCGCTCAGAAGAAAAGGAATTTCAATCGTGCTTAACAATATGATGGTATTTACGTTAAGAAATATATCCGTGGCCCCTAACTTTCTCTTCTCAACTTACAAAGTCTGACGTCATAGACATCTAATTCTTTCTGTTATACTGCGGGGACAGTC